AACCCTACACCCCTAAACCCCCAAATCCTAAACCCTAAACCCTAACCCCTAAACCCTAACCTGCACCTAAACAAAGCTCAGGTCAAGAGGCAAGCAGCCCGGAAGACGAACGAGCTGATCCTTGGCTGCGGTTACTGAGCTGAAATTTAATACGTTCAGGGTTTAGGGGTTAGGGCTTAGGGTTCAGGGTGTATAGTAAACCCTAAACTCCCTAAACCCCGAACCCTCCTAAACTCCCTAAGCATTAGCCCTAAACCCTACCTAGACCCTCCAATGTAGTACCTTTTTGGGCAGTCCTAATAAGAATCCTAAATCCATGCCAAACCCCAAAAAAAACTGCATTGGAGGGTCCAGAACCTAAACTAAAAATCCTAAACCCTCTAAACCTTAAATCCTAAGCCCTAAGCCCTAAATCCTAAACCCTAAACCCTCAGCCCTAAAACCAACGCCCCAGTAAGTAGCTTAGGTCTTATTAGCAACCCAGGCTCAGACATCAGCGAGATGAGGGGTGAGACAACCAAGGTAAAGCCCTCCTCACGAAGCCTCAGTGAAACGGTTCCCTACACATTACAGGGTTTGGGGTTTAGGGTTTAGGGTTTGGGGTTGAGGGTTTAGGGGTTTAGGGTTTAGGGTTTGGGGTTTTGGGTTTGGGGTTTAGGGCTAGTAGGGAATGAGGGAATATATTATGTAGGGACTATGTAGGGGTAAATCTGGTTTTGTTGAAGGTTAGTGCTTCGGGCTTCGGATTTAGGGCTTGTCTTTGGACACCGGGATTCGAGCAAAAGGGTGGCAGCATGAGGTTTAGGGTCTAGGGTTGAGGGCATCCACTGCTCAAGCTAGAAAACTTGGGCGCGGTCACAAAAACAAGGGGTACGCTCTTGGGGGTTGCCTTGATAAGGACTGTAGTATTATGGGGTCTATGATGGGGTGCCTATGTTTTGGGAAACTACCACTCAACGAACAAAGCAGCAGGAACCCTATAAGCGGCAGCCATAGCATAACCAATGATAGCCTGATAGAGCACAATGCTTGAAATCATGACCTTGACAATACAGATGCGCATACAAATGATAGTTGCA